GATGTGAATATTGAGTCACGACTTATCAAAATGGGTTTGGCACACTTGCCTTCTCCATTTCACTCCGCTTTCCCGCTTCTTACTCTTAATTTCTCTGAATAAGAGTGTTTGAAGTAAATTCATTCAATTCAACCCATATTCGGCTTCTTATAACTGCGTCTCACAAATGGAATAAGCATAGGATTTAAGCGGAAGATTTGTATTCATGGGGTATTTGATCGTTCTTTCAAATTGTAATCAGATGAAGTCAAAGGGCCACTAAATATATTAATATAAACTATTTTGCATTCTCATTAAAATTATGAGCCGATCAATTTTAGACCACCACTTAAAACCTAGAGTTACTGGACGTGTGGTTCATCCTAGTGTCTCACTCCTCATCAGTGCTCATTCACGATCCTGCACGCGGGATTTTGACCCAATGAAACAAACATTACAGTATATCGATATTCTGCAAGACAAAGAAACCAATAGGAATTAGTGTCAACTAGGTGGCATTATCACGCTAAAATAATATTTTGTGAAAGGTTACAATAGTGTTTGTTGCTGTGACAACCTCAACAAGTCATAATGTTGATGTGTAGATCAACTCCAACAGTTTGTCAGCCAGAAGCATGTTTTTATTCAAAGTATCAAGAAATATTCTGCTGGATCAAATTGGTCGGTCTGATCCGAATTGGGTAGATGTATTAAGAACTGTATAATTATTTGACTTTAGATTGTGTTAAGCTACAATTTCGAACTTCGCTGTAATTACTTCGGTTCAATCAGGTTAGCAGTTGTTTAGTTTAGAGCTTAATACACCTACCTCTGCTGGCCTAACGAATTCCTTAAAACGTGAATCCGTGTACATGAATTCTCTTTTTATGATGACTTAGGTTTACTGTAATGACTATCAACTTAAGAAGTCTGTGATACAAGTAGATTACAATTATTTGAATAAGTTTTCTATGAACAGATGTTACAAGGTCCTTCCTCTACTATATTGTTTTGTAGATGTTGATAGTTTCTAAGTATTTACTTATTTCAATAATAGAATTCGCCACAAAATAACCTCAGTTAAGTAACCATTGAGAAGTTAAACACAAAAAACTCCAAGTTTATATTTCATTTTGTGTGCTATTTTGTTTACTTTCAGTTTTATTCAAGACTTTTTTAAAACATTGTTTTCGTTCATTTGTCAAGCGTTCACTTTCTACATCGGTTTTCCTAATCAATCTTATTCTCACTGAGTAGTTGGGGATTTTTCGACGATAGCTAATTCACAGATTCATTAGTCAATCAGTCTCACTTATCACACAAAGTTACTTGTCCTTTAACGTGTTTCCAGTATTTGAGTATGTATGTAGTGTATCGCAGTGTGTAGTAGTAGTGACACGGTTCCATAACATCATATATATGGGATTTCCAGTCTCACAGTGTTTCATGCATATAACATTTTTTTCTGGTCGGTAAACTACGCATGTTTGTCATTGTCATCGTCATTGCTGTTGTTGTTGTTGTCGTCAAGTCCTCCAAAAGCATTTCCACAATGTTTTTTGGTATGTTTAATGATTAATTTTTTAAGAAATAATTAAACTGCGTATGCTGATGAATAAATAAACGAATATATATACTATATTTTCTCATCTCTTTTTCACGGGATGTTGGTAGGTTGGTGTCTATGTGATTATCGGAACCAATGGTTTGAAACATCGACCAGCATGACATAGAATCAATCCTAATAGCACAGATGTTGCACCTCGGATCTTGAGATCTAAAGTTACCTTTTATATTTTTATCCTGCGAATTCGTTCATTCTTCTCGGGTCAGATTATCTATGGCTAGTACTGTCGCTATTTAAACTATCCCGACATTTGTTAAGATAATTTAATCTCTCTGTTCCGATGATGAGGTGTGACGACTTGAACAGATGCACGTATTTACCAGGATCTATGTTGGTTGGTTGACCAATTGATACCTAAAGATTGTAGGATCATATAGTAGCGACGACCTTGAATGGTTGTCAACCGATTAGAAAACAGCCTAATTATAAAATGATTTATAACAAAAGTTAATAAAACGAGGGTGGGTAAATAGTCATAATTTGATGAAAAAGCGAATTAGGAGTCTGAGTAGAAGCAGGAATTAAAGCTGGGAGCTAGGGTTAGTAGTTATGTGATTAGGAGTTAAGGTTAAGTTTATGATGGTTTGAAGTTACTGTTAAGGTTGAGATATTGCTTCAAAGTGAGCGAATAGTTTTAAGTCACAAAAATACCCTTGGCTATTGCATGAATCACACAAAGTATGCTCAAATACAATCTGGAGTTAGTCTAGGTATTTCCTCTGATTTAGCCTATGTAGAATGTCACATCTATATGATTATATGAAAGATATTTTGAGCAACTTTAAGCATTTTAGGAAGTAATTTTAGAAAGCGTTCTATAAGATACATACTATCCTTCACTGCATTTTGAATTTTGGACGGAAGACAAAAGGGGCTATGTTAAGGTGGTCGCTATAATATAGTCCTGCTCCTAGAGACTTTCTTCCCTAAAGATAGTGCTTGAAGCATAAGGGTTTACCTTTTTGTCCTAATTTTTTCTTGTTCCACATCTCGTGGATGATGCTAAATTTCTACATAAAATTAGATGGAAACAGTTCTCTTCAGTTTGAGTCTGTTCTTTTCTGATTGTACTATATTATTAAGGACAAATCTTCGGTTTAATTCAAGAATTGGTCCTAGACATCTGTCATTAACTAGGAAGAACTAGGCCCCTGTTTCATCCCATTGTCTAACTCCTTAGAAGTGCACGACTCTATCACGGGAATCAGACCTAGGACTTTGTTTCATTCTAGGACACAATCTCTAGACTAAGATCGGCTCGTGGAAATTCTACAATCTCCATAATCACTTCCTATATTGATAATAAGCACAAATGTTTTGTTATCTAATATAGATAGACGGTAATTTAATTTTTCCTGTTTACATTTTCATAAATCGCACTGTTTGAAAAACAAATTCTGGTTGTTTTGCTTTATTGCATTGCATGAAAATTATTTGATGTTAGACCACTTAGTGCCACTGTTCTAGATTTTTCTTTAAAAGTATAGGGTTGCTTTTTTTCATCCATAGGTTTTATGTGGTGATAACTTGTTACGAAAATGTACTTTCTAGTTATTATATATTTATTTTATAGTAACTCATTTATCCAATTATGTACAGGTTTACGTATTCGACTAAGTCACGTTATTTGAACGAAGCTTAATGACACTATATTGGATTATTAAAATCGAAGTAGACCAAGTGGGATTCGAGCCTACAGCTTGTTAGTTGATCGAACGCGTGTTGGAAATAAAAGATGTACATATGTTATTGATATCCTTGAGGAGCATTTGTGTATGATAAAATCATTGAATGCATGATATTCTTATTGTGTATCGAGCAGTAGCTAGATAAAAATGATTAATTCCTTAGCAAAGTCGTTGATTTTCACCAGCAGCTATCATTCATACGCATCTACCACCGACCTCAATGTACTGTGGTGGTCAAGCTATGATCGTATGGTTTCTGGTGTTAGTTTACATGGGTCAAAATATTCATTGACTGTTAGATAGACGTATTCAGATTTTTAAATTTTCCTCTGATTCTGTAACATCGAATCCTATTGTACACTTTTGCTTTATTTTCCGTTCTAGCTCTTTACCGTTATTAGTGTCATTATCATTCATTCCCTTGATTTTATTGTAACTTAGTCTCTTCTAACTGTTTTGACATGATATGTGGCGATTCTCACTGACCTACATTCTCCTGTTATTCTGTACATTGTTCTATTTTGTTGTTTATTACAGTTGACACGAAAGAATATAGAAAAGAGCTTCAGAAAAACGTGTCATACCAGTTCACCGTCGTCTCATCTTTCCACCATAATTGATATATAGTGATTATGATATCAAAATCTGTGATGACAACCATTTTCAACTTCTAATCTTTCAACCATATATAAGTGGTTATCTTCAAATCCTTATGCTCAATTATCTCTTTCACTTAGTAATTTTTAGGGGTTGTAAGTGTTCTCTGTTTTAGACCTGTTTAAATTTGCAAAGTCAGCTAGCGTAAAGTAAGTATGATTGAATATTGCATAAAAGTTTGGGAAAAAATGTGGAATTGCAATATTTCAGTTTTGCGGGAGGTCAGTCGCTGCCAAAACAGCTCAGTATTATTGTCTCAGGCTGTGAGGCTGGGTAATATGGGATTTAATTGACCAAAATGCACCAGTTCCTCCAAGATTACTGTACACCTTGTTGGCGAGTATTAAATAGCATGAAACCTGGATCCTAGGATTTTTGTCGTCTACCACGAACCATCTAATATCTAAACATAGTACACGTGGTATCGAGTTACTTGAATTAGTGGCCATATTGCAACTTGATCACTTCTCAGTGACTGGTCACCAGTAGGACTGAATGAATTTATTAATTTCGGGGCTGGCGTCATTGTGGGTAAGATATAGTTGCGAAACAAATATATTTCATTGTTTATCGAGCGTGAAAAGCATTACTTTTGCTTACTGAATGGCTCTCAAGTGAAGACTTCCATTGACACCGTTTGCTTGCAAATTCGAATCCCACTCCATCTACTATCTCAGTTTTACCAATCAGATAATATCATCAGTCTACACATTTTCAACAATATACAAAAAGACATTTTCCAAGGCCTTCAAATAAAAAAAATTGGGCCTGGCAACTGAGGTTTACATCATTATGCTGAATCAGTCGCTAAGGAAATTTCGTGAAACTGTTTGTTTTCAGACTGTGTACGTGCCATTTGTTTATTCACAAGGTGTTTCGAATTTACTAACATTCATATTTCCAAGTTGATAGTCATTTCATGAGTGTGCGATTAAAAGAGAGAGAACGTAGACGTGCTTGTTGTTAATTAACGTATATTCTGGGATATATACATGCTTACAAATTACCTTTTTCTCTATCTCTTCAATTTCCTATATTCTGTTAATATAATGTTACATAGGTATTATGTTTCCATTGTATTATTGTAATCTCACATAAATACATATTATATATTGCTTTGAATACATGTGAAGTATGATCTTTAATAGTGAGAATATGATCATATTTAGGTGTATATGTGTGCATGGTATACTGATGATCACCTGTTCTATTACTGTTACTATTATCATTATTTTTATTATTATTGTCGGTTATTACATACCAACATAAATGCTAAGTTAAAGTGAATTTTATATTTATTAGCATAGGGGAAGTTGTTGAATAGAGTTTTCACAGTTTACATCACAGGCTGATCTTAATTAGTTCATGATGTAAACTATAAAAATTCAGCAATCTCTACAAACCCCTTATACTGATAGTAATCATGCGCTCACTAGTGGATAACTTCGAAATGACGTTCTAGGATTTCCGGTGAAAAACTCTGACCAGTGCAGTCCGACTATGTCGGATGTGAGATAGTTACCCACTACAGGTAATGAGATATGGTCGCTCAGTATGTCGAGTTGGTTGAAGTTAGACATGGCCACCATATGATACTGGTTCAGTGGTCTAGAGGTTAGGCATTCGCGAGCAAGACAGGGTCTTGGATTTGATCTTATGTAAGGTCATGGATGTACCGTATTGAGGAGTCCCATATTAGGATTGGTTTCTAGTTTTCAGTGGTTATCTAACCAAAGTCAATCCATAATGTGGAACAGTTAGTTATGATAAATCAAAACCAACATGTAATGAAACAAAAAGCATAATAATGGTGCAATATATATGTTATTTGTTTTACACGGACATGCATGGAGGAATTCAACTTTTTCTTCCAATATCTTAGCCCCATTCTTTGTTTGCTTAAGATATTTTGACCATTTGTCATTTATTCAACCATTCATCAGCTTAAGACTACTCACCAAATATGTGTTGGTTTAAGTTGCTAGATGTCAGATTAGCATATCACACATGAGAGAGGCAAGAAATGGGAAACGCATATCAATTGCAATCAAAGTTTCAGCAGGAAAAAAACAATTTTTTAAGAGGAATCACTTAGACCAAGAAATGTAAAGTTAAGAGGAGCGTTACTTAATTCAAGATTTGGTGAAAGTTAGTGAATGAATATAACTAGTTGGGCCACTGTAACGTTGATTTTAGCCCCATGTTTGGTACCCAATGTTACTAACCATTAGTTTCGAAGAGTCCTCCGCAAGGATGACTACAAGTATTTTCCGGAAAGATCTTTTATTCAATTAGTTTTTTTAAAAGTTATTAGTAAATAGCTAATTTCCCTCTACTTCACACTTTAACAAACTATCTCGTTATCCACCGTTTTGTCCTTCACTATTCTGCACTTTGAATGGCATCTTATGATTTAAATAATGACTAGATTCAATAAAGTGTTCCTATCACTTAGGCTTAGACCTTGTAAAAGTACATGAATTCTCTAGCTAACAAGACCTAGTGGTCTCATATAATTGTCAAACCTATCGTAAAAATGTTCCTAGTTGGATAGCGGTGTTCACGTTTACTTTTTTCATTTTAAGAGTAAAATAGTAGTTTATTGCCATCATTATAATTTCTAGTCCTCTCAAGATTGTTTGTCTATCTCTGTTTTATCGATGCTGTTTTTATTAAAGGGTGTGGTAACACACTAGCGTGATGCTACATTGTTCTTTATATATATATTAGTAAAACATTATTAAGTCTCTTCTATTTATCTCATGAATCAGTTCTTTTTGTTTTACTCAATATGAGAGTAAATTCGTGTGAAATTTATTTGTGGAATATTATTATTATTATTATTATTATTATTAATCACTATTGGAAATAATACGAGTAAAATAATTGAACGTTGATCGATGGTATTTTTCTATGTTCAACGAGTGGCGCGATTTATTCTATATGTTCTGAAATAATCTATGATGATTTTTTTCCTTTATAATATGTTGACCATGACCATGGTATATTATCGATACTGTACTTGTATGTTTGTTTATTCTTTAGTGTGCTACTTTTAAAATTATCTATTACTTTTTATTCCATGAGTTAGTTCTTTCTTTTTGAGTTATTTTGTTCATGTTTACCTGCTTCGGTTTGGGCACCCGGGCAGTATCACAGCCCTCACACATATCGAATGAGATTTGTGTGATATTTGTCTTCATAATTTCATCTTGTCGTGGACATATAGTGTGACAGCTTGACTCGATGATGCACACGCATGCCAAGAATCTTGACAGTGTTCAGGGGAAAATAATAAGTGTAGGCGCATACCCATATCCTAGTGTTAATGCTCACGTTCGAACCCGTACCCGGTGCCTCTGTTGTCTCAATCGCCAACGATTTATTTACTTAGCTTCTAAGTTCAAATATCTGTTAACGTGTTCACCCGGCGTAGTGTTTATTCGCAATAATTTGTATTACCTTATTGTTGTTATTCAATACTGAAATTAATCACTCCTTATTGGCATGATTTTGTTACTCCTTATTTGTTCTGACTCATTCTTTATTTGCTCGCCATATTATCTCTATGTCGTCTGTTTTTAACTCATCAAATTTTCTCGAAATCACGTTCTCATCATTTATCAACACAGGATCTCTGGTACAAATGTGTACCGGTACAATTTACCACATCTGACGTCAAGATACAAAGAATAAGTTACGTACTAAATAATGTACATAATACACTGACTTCATCAAGTTGTACTTTTGAAGATATTGTCATTCGTGTTTGCTTAATTACGGTTTGCGTTGTTGTTCTTATTATTGTAACTCAAATAACTGATTGTTTTTTACCGTAGTAATTATAGGCTTTTTTATAAACATTCCTAGTTGTTTTCATTACTTCTCAGTTTTTCTACCAATAATTATGTTGTTGACCGCCCATTTATTTATTTTTCTTCAGTGCAAATCCCTTATCAAGTCTACATCATGGTCCAGATTCTCCAGCGAGCGCTTCACAATCGGATATATTACTCGGTGATATGGAGTCTAATTTTGAATTGATTCGAGTAAGTACTTCTGTTAGTCATTATGTGTTTATATTGAAATATAATACATTAGTTATAAGTAATGTAGAACCTGGCACACGTGTGAATGATCAGTTCAACTTCACATACCACATAAACACAGCGAGTAATTGAAGTAACAGCAACGTCATTGGTAGAAGAGAATATCAGGCATGAAAAATATAATTCAAGGAGGAAAAATAAAAAGATTTTAAGACTCAAAATCTTAGGGAATACAGAGAGTGAGTGCTTCTGTGTAAAATTCGCACAGATTCTGTTCCATATCACTCAACGTCTCAAACTATTGGTTACGACGACTGCACAGACGGCAACTTGCTAGTTTGCACCTACCATCACGGCTCAGTCAAACAGTTGCTGTCTTCACGGACAAATGTTATGTCTTGGCTTGATCGCTCCTAGCTTTCTTCCAACCTGCCTCTACACCAAGATAACATCGTACATCTACGTAGATGATGGTTGGGAGTGTGATACATGTTCCGACCACTTCAGTTGATGAAGGTCCACAGCATATTACCAACCAATTTTTTACTTAGTACACTTTGTCTAACCTCAGCATTGTTCAATTGGTGGTTCCAATACACTCGGGTGATGAAGTATTGCGTAACACTTAACTGTAATTAACTTTGTTCATTTATTTTCTGCTTACCATTTATATATTTCACCATTTCTCACTTTCACAATTGGTCCCATGCCACTTGAATTTATCTTCTCTCTACATCTAAATTTTTTTCACAATTTCACTTTTGAATTAAAGGATCAAATGCGCCGAATGGAAGAACGTGTAGAAGGTCTAAAAATCAACAGAAATACTGAAAGTGAAACGCGCTTAGATCGTTTACGTGAAGAGAATGCTCGTTTAACTGCACAAATCACTGTTTTAGAAGAACGTCTTAAAGAGGCTGATGCAAGGTCGAGCCGTGTATTAGAAGCTGAACGACAGCATATGCAATCAATTTTGGTTAGTCGATATTGGTTTCTTTTTTATCTCCTTAGTAAAACAGATACCTCAACATGATTATAAAATAGTATATTAGTAATATTTTTTTCTCAAGAAATCACTCACACTAAATGGTAAAATGTTAACAATTCATCTTTTTAAAAGAAACTTTTATTCTATATTCAGTCAGTCATTTAAAACATAGGACCAGGGACATATATGCACCAGTCCAAGTTGCAACACCTCATTAGCACAACAAGATTAACACGAATAGTAGTGATATATAAAAGAAAGATTGTGTATAAGTATATAATACAGGAAGGGAGAATTAATTCGTAGAAAGAAAGGTATAGAGTAATTTTTATCTCACGTTTTAAGGGAAGACAAAGAGTGTATATACCCACGCAATTATGATCGATTCTGAGCCATGTCACCCAGAGTCTTCAACCGTTGATAACGATAGTCACGCGGACCCCAACCAAGTAGTCTGCATCTTCCAACATGGCTCAGACTAGAAGTTAGCGACTTCATAGACTGATGCCACGTTTTGGTTTGGCAGCCTCTAGCTTTCTTCCAACCGTGTCCAACACTGGTCGGTATTGCGCATCGTGGTAATCGGTATTCAGGCATACGTAACACGTGGCCCAACCATCTAAATTGATGGAGATATACAACCTCATCAACTGATTTACCGTTATTCCCTAATACCCTGCGTCTAACCTCTCTATTACTTACCCGGTGAACTCAGCAGATACTGGCAATATTTCTAAAACATCTGTGATCAAATACTAGTAGTTTACGGGTATTCTCTCCCCTTAATGACCATGTTTTACAGCCGTAAAGTAGAACAGAACGAACTGCTGCTCGGTCTACTCGTCCTTCGATTGATAGACGGATATATCGCCTTCGCCATGGGTAACATAATTAATATTTCTAATCGTGACTTCCATTTGGCAATCAATACATGAGCTTTGGATACTGATTGTTTCATTTTAATATGTCGGATTCTTTCTCAATCGTTTGCATATATCCTTGCAATGATTCAGTTTATAGATCAATTACACCTTATTTTGTGAATGGATTGCCTTTAGGTTACTACTGAGCAACGATGGTGGGTCAGTGGTTAAAAGGCGTTCAACTTTTAGCTGTAAAGTTGCAAGTTGGAACCCCCTCTATTTTCGTTACTTTGGCTTAGACAGTCGGACAGTATCATTAGCCTTCATATATAAAGTCGTATTCGAAGCCAAGTACACAAATTGAGTACCTGGTAAATGAGTGAATAAATAAGACCTTCATGCTCATTGTCCTACATTCAAATGTAGCAATGTTTGATGTTAATATAGTGGCTAATTATGAAAATAGTAAGGATTATTCGTGTGTATAAGATCATTTTTCCTACTTTTGGGAATATTTCCACCAATAGTGTACTCCTCAGCATTAAGTGTTTATGTCATGCAATTGGTATGTATGTAGTTGTATATATGTATATGTATATGGTATGTATGTGTGCATGTGTGTTTGTAGGAGCTTCTTAGTATGTGTATGCAACAGATGATGGATTCATGTGACATATTTACATAGTTCGCCTATTGTTATTCTGTTTGTTTACTCATTGCATGGAAGACTTTTGGTTCTGGTTGCCAGTAGTAATCATCATTTTACACCCAAATTATTGGATAATGATGATCATAAAAGGAAAGAAATTTAGGCTGGTTATTTTCTCTCTCTGTAAAAACAATTATTTGTAGGAGAAATTTCGTTTTATGATTATGATATAGGCATATTGTTGAAGTAAAGTGATTGTTATTACTTATATATTTTGTCCAATTGTACATTGAGTACTCTAGTGATTATCACATATATACAACGTGGGCTATTTTCATCAAGATAGCTATCCGGTTACTTCCCTATCTAGCCTTTAGCTGTTATCCTCAAATCACTGTGATTATCAGTTACGTTTGATGGTCTACGTGGGGTTTCTCACAGGCCTTCACTTTGTTACGTGTGTCAATATTTATCAACACGACAACTCAGAATATTATTGTTGTCACGAACCGATCTGAGTTAAATAACCATTGAAAACCTGTATGTACTGGACAGCCGATTTGTCTAAGTATAGGACTCAGCAGTGCTTGTCTGAGGTTTGGCGACTGGGATTCGAACTCATGGCTTGCCCCGTTCACGAACTTTCAACTTCTAAACCACTGAGCTGTGGTCCAATCATGCACAGTTCTAACTTCAGTCTATCCACGATATTACACAACCACCCTCTGTTGTTTTCTCTGGGTACTTCCCTCATACGCGACACTATTGAACTCCACTTGTTACAGCTTCTCACTAGGATTCTGGAGCTTTCCTGTAGAAGATAGTCACTAGTAGTACGCATGTGATAATTATCGGTATGGGGTTTGTGATTTCAATAAAACTCTGTCTCCACAACCTCGTACTGTCAGTTAAGATAGCTGAAGGAGTAGGTGACAACTATAGTTCATTTGGACGTTCACCATTCAACTTTTATGACATCTCTAAATATTTTTCTGCTGAGACATATTATTGGTTTCACACCTATCTCATTGACAAGAGACTTTTTGCTTCAGTCGTGTTTCGTTTGAATTGGGAGATTTTTGAGTTGCAGTGTTTTTATTCTTATATCAGTGGTGCGCATTATGACCAGTGAGATGTTAAAAGGAGTCCACTAAAAATCAGTACCTATAATAAGTGGCATATTTTTCCATTCTGTATACTGTAATTGAAGTGAGTACTCATCTATGATTTTCTATCAGTTGACCGCTAATATTAACTGTTTGTCGATTTTTTCGGTATATTTTGTTTTATTGCCAAGTAGAGTTTATTTGATAGCATTGTTTTGTCTAGAATGACGGCTTCGCTGATCTTTAAAATTTTGGGTATGAGTTTTATGTACACTTTACTGTAATTACAATCCAGATATGTTTTCCAAGACAATCAGTAATGTTGTGCATATTTATACTAACAGCTACTAATTATTTTGTTTGTGTTCACCTGTGTTGAGGTTTTTGGAAGTATATCAGTTAGAGCATTACTGGTGATTTTACTGGAATGCGGTTGCAATTTGGACAAACTTATGTCAGACACAATCCCTGTTATCTTTAATTTCTGTCAAAAATTCTCCACTTTTTCTCAAAAAGAAATTTCTTGTGTACAACTCTTTACTTAAATCCAGGCGACACTTTGAAATAAGTATTTTGTATCCAACATTTGCGACCATCTTTCTGTTCAGTTTGTGGATGATTTTTATATATTCGAGTGGTTATCTTCACTAAAGATTTCATTTCAATTGTTTGGAATTATTTGCATTTGTCTGCTATGAACACGTTAATGTGTAACGCAACTTCAGGTAAGGTAAGGTCCTAGATGAAAAATACAAATTGGTAAAAGTATGATATAGGAATGGGCTTAAACAGACCACGACGGATTTTCAGCCAATTCTTTAGCTAATCAGAAAGCAACTTTTATAAATAAGATAGTTTCTGGGAAAGAAAGTCCTAATATTGCAAAGTTTAAATGGGTTTTACTTTCTAAATAATTCTATTAAGGTTCTCTACAGGTTACTCTGCCTACAGATTGAAGAAACGATGACATAAATCTGTCTTTATGGATATAAAGTGTCCATCTTCTCGAACCCATATAAGTACCTAAATAGATTTGCAAGAGTCCCGATATTATTCCTAATGAGGATTAGGATAAGGAGTTAACAGTTGGGGTTTTCATCACTAACTGACAACAGCTATCATTCGAAAATGCTCTGTAGGCCATATGGATGAATGAATTTTGCTTAAAAATTCCTGAAGCGCTATTTTAGTTCGTTTATTAGATGAAGTGCCACCATGTTTAGGTTTGATTCAGTATTAAGGGTTTGGGGTTACTACTTAAAAATAATGTCAATGTTTGCCTGTTGTAAACAATATATATTAGAAAACGTTCAACCTTCGGTACATTAAACACTATCAATTTTACTTTATGGTTGCAAAAACTAATTTACTGCTATGACTTTTAACATTTTGAGCATTGTATAAAGACATTTCTACTGCTCATCATTTATGGTATTTGAATTTCTCACATAAAGCTGACAGTTTTCTCGATCCATACTTTTACCCCCACATCTAGTGGAAGTCGGAGGTTGAACTAAAATCTTTAATAAAAGTTATATTCTGATATACAGTACTCACTCACCAAATGAAAATAAATATGACTGAAAATGCTGGATACACCATGTACTTATTGAATGTTTGAAATGTTGTGGATAACATCAACCATGTTATGGTATCATTGTGGTTTCATTTGAAGATGTGGGCTTTTATGGTTTAATTTTCAAGCGTCAAATACGGAACTACATTTTATCGAAGTTTTACTTAAACTCTATTTACATATCGGTTGGAACTTTTTTCAAGTGACTGTCAAGCTCTTTTCCATAACATATTTCATGATTCATTGATATTTCCATACTTTTTTTCTTTTCTGTCCAAACACTTTTTTAGTCACGCTCTTCGCGAGAACATACTCAAGAATCAGAAACGTTACGTGCTCGGATTATTTCTTTAGAAAGTGAATGTTCCGAATTACGTGTTCAGTCAGCTCGTATCAAAGCAGACAACCAAACGTATATTATTGTAGGTTGATGGAATATCTTTATTAATTTAAGTTAATATTTATGTACTGTAAATATTATGATATTTCTTTGGTAGCGATTTTTAAATGACGAATTTGTTTGAGTACTAACTAATTATATCATAACATACCCTGGATTATTATCATCACTACTTGTGTATGTGAGAGCTGGGACACTACTCGGACGTTTAAACTGAGGTAGATGGTTCTCGAAGAACTATTAACGCTACAATGTCAAAAGACTGCCATCTTTACCAATTATATCCATACGTTATTCACTTGTAGAATTCTCTACTCATTGTATATCATTAGTTTAAACTCGGGTTTTCTAAAATCTTGGGTAAACGATCTACATTCGTACCAGATATCCTCTTTCGTAAAAATAAGCAATTCACTTCACGCGAATCTAATGGGTAGAATTTCATCAGAAGAAGTTATGGACACGTGATTGTCTAAGAGTAGCGTAAAACTGATTTGTAAAAAGGGGTTAATAATTTCCAGTTGATTTTTCAATTCCTTTTCGATATCAATTGAAAATGGTAAATTTTATATACAAATCAGATTTGCTACTTTTTTATATTGAATATGATCTGACAAAGTTTTGTATTTGATCCATCAGTCTATCTACAAAAATATATACTTGTTTCAATGCTGTCAGTCGGTTAGTGTATAGGTAATCTGCTATGTCCGCGTCTCGTATTCTTATGTTTGAAAGAACGATTAACCACCGCAATTCCCACGACACGAAAATAAGAACACAAAGACTGGTTCAAGTGAAGATTTATTAACCCCAAATCACGACGACGACCTTAGTCGAAAATACACTCATACGTTAGTTATACACTTATTTTAATTAATAATTAGAATAAAATCACATATATGAAAAATACCCAGAGTTACAACAAATAACATGCTGCATATCATGCTGAGCATAGTTCATTTTAATGTAATTCAAGTATATCATATCTCTAACAAACATCACACTCAAATAAACTAATGTTATATCGAATAAAATATCATATTGGAAACCAAAACAAACACTACACTGAGTAATCATTACATCTCTGTGCTAATATGATATGGCAACTCGAACTGCTGTACGTACGTACGAAGTTCTACGTTGTTACTGACTGACTGACTGACTGAATCAATACATTGAATTAGAGTGGAAGTAATGTTGAACAAAAATTATAATGAGCAAAAGAATGCAATTTTACCTTTTCGTTCCACCATAACCTTCTCTTCTTTTTTGATGGAATACACAGGAATAAGTTTTCCCTGGATAGTCCATTCGAGGGGTTGTTGTTCTTTATCGTACCCGCTAGGATCTTCCTTGCCGGTCGCGTAGTCGTTTCCTAGGTCTCAATGGGTTTTTCCAGCTTCATTTAAGAAATTGACCTAATTTATGCTCTGCTCTTTCGTTCAATACATATATGATTCTCCCTCCCCTGCGAAACAATGTTGGATCTTCATATAACTACGTTACAAATAATGTGACCTGAACTGTCTTAACACTACTCATACCTTCTTTATATGAGAGTATTGGAGCGTATGATCTTGACCTATAAGGATAATATTATACATGGTGATTTTTCCCTTTCCTTTCATTATTCCGTCCATTATATTAATAAGCACATTTTACATTTAGACTTGTCAGTAAAAATGCATGTGATTCATGTAGGCTCTCTTTGTTCTCAAAACATTTGAATAGGACATTTCTACATACAGGGATATTGCAATTGGACTGACTTTGATGTACTAAAACAAGGTTTACCTTTTTGTATGTGACATTCAATTTGTCCGAATAAACAAAATAAATATCATCAGATGCGTTAAGTATTTTTAGATAACTGTAAGAAATACTGAAATTTGTTAACTACTCATCATAAATTTTCCGGAAACACTGGATAGTCTGTGGAAATTGATCGTATTTAAAATTTTTGGAGAAGTGAAATTGGCACACTTATTATCTTTATTTGACCTCAGCTTCCTGAGGTAAGCATGAACCTTTGACAGAGACTTTCATCTCAAACAAATCTTCATTTCTACCATTACAAGCATTGAGCATTACCCCGAATGTCGAACTGCCAGACTCTGGGACTAAATTTAAATTTTCCGATTGTGTGAACGACATCACTTTTGGGCATTCTGGTTTCGAGACTGTTTCGTGAACACTTGTTGTCTCAATTGATTCATCATAGCATTAGGTAGGGATTCTACGTGATATATTTGAGGTGTGAGAGCACTCACCATCTGCTACAATAATATCTGGAATTTGATCAGAATGTGACTTTTTTAGAACATATTTCTCACATTGACTAGAAGTGAATGGATTATGAGAATAAACATCATACCATCGGAAATATAGTTAGATTTGGACCCATTGAGAACTTATGCTTCATACTGACCAAGGTTTTCCCTACAAACAGATACATTGTGAGAATAAGCAACATCTGGTATGATATCACCAGAATTTGTAGACCTTTTCCTCAATCACAAAACTGTTCTTTATTGCTGCAGGAAATGTATCAGTTACTTCGTTTAACGTATCTATAATTTTTGATTGCGATTCCGGATTCGATTGTCTGAGCATATATTCCTTCAATGGATCGGTGAGCATTAAATGAGATCTAATTTACACATCTTCATTAAACTGTAGCATTGATTTTACTTCTGAAATTAACATGTTCTTATACTAGTAACTGCGTTATTTGTTGTAGTAGCGACTTGATAAAAGAAAGCAGAAGTATATTTATAACTGAACATAACAGGTTTAGGGGTAGGTTGAACTGACAACGAAGTTATAACTGGTACCACATAGTTATGTTGAAAAACTGAAACTGGTAAATTGATCCCGTTGGCAGTTGTTATGTCTTTCTTTATTCCACAATCCCCATCACCATTTGTTATGCCAGTGTCGCTTATTCTTATGCTCGGAAGAACGAGGAACTACTACATAATCCTTTAAAAAAAGCATTGTAGACTAAATCTGAGTCTTTAAATCTTTACTAAATCTATATACTACAACATTTACGAAAAGACGAATAGTTTGTAAATAGAGTGAGTGACTTATTGACTTGGATTGTGGCTGGCTGTAGGATCTTTGGCGCGTTTCGTCTTATTTAGAACTCTTCATACCCATTGAACTAGTTAATAGGTATCTGAACTTAGTAGCTTAATGAATAACATGTTAACATTCAAGTCTCTGTGTGAACAATAACAGTAGGATAATTTCATCCTACCAACAAGTCTCAACTAGAACAAAGGTCATATTCTAAACTTCACTGCTAGCCATGGTACAAATAAACTAAAAACGTGTAACAGAAGACAATATCGAGACGATCCGTTCAGATTGGGCACAGATATTAGTAGAAATCGGCTAACTGCAGCCAGAAACGGGCGAAATTACAAATCTTTACAAATAGTATAGTTAGCTGCTTACAAACACTCTTCAGTCAAACAAAAGACGTGTGAGAGAATAATTGTCGAAAGAAGTTCGTGTATCTTTGTAGATAAAGTCCAAAGACAATGAGTGGTTACGATAACCTTAAATCCATTTGTTTTCTTTTAGGCAATCGGTTTTTGATTGTTGTACATGTGCGCTTATATGCGTCTTTCTATTGTTCCTCAGCTTATTGTTTCTAACACATTTAAATATAAAGAACATGAATAATATCCGAACAAATTATTTCAGTATGCATGAGTTTGTGGAGATTGTTTTCATTTTGCATCATAAATTAATTTTAGTGAGACAATTACTAGAAACCATAAAGTACCGGGAAGTTGTTTCGTCTTAGTATGGGATTCTCCACATTGCGTATTCACATTATCACCGTGGGTCGAATCCGGGAATTTTAGGTCTGTTGGAATGGCTTTTGATAAACACAAAGGAGCCGAAGAGTCTCCACTCAGTCAAAATCTGATGAAGCTTTCTAGAATATCAGCACAGCATACTGCGACCACTGAATTTGGATTCAATGATTTACATTCTTAAATTCAAGTTGTTTCTTTTAAAAATATCTAATGTTTCCACTTAGGCAAGTCTTTTACCCCTCATGGAACATAGGCCACTGAACTAATGTTCACAGAGTCTAGTAAAATTAAGATACCTTATGGTTTTATCTTTGCTGAAAAAGAAATATGTTCTAAAAGTTGTTTCTATGGGTTGGTCAGATATAGGTCAATATATATGTGTATACATATATAGTTTATATCAAGAATCAATTTAAGTCAAATAACCATTGAAAACATGGAATTACTGGATGACCGTTTCGTCCAACCACAGGATTTCAGCAGTGCACATCCACGAATTAACAATCGAGGATCTAGGCCAGAACCTTCAGTCTCTCGTGCAAACGCTTTAACTCTAGATCTCTGAGCCGGGATCCAATGGTGTACAGTTTTAAATTAAGTCAATTCACGATACCTTTCTCACACCCGCTTTATTTGTCTTTGTATTCCTGTCGAAAGTTTATTTTTTCTGTTCACCTCTGACCGCATGGGTGGTTGACATTTACTGTATAGGTTCGTAAATAGGGTCTGTGTTGATATTTCTATTGATAACTAAAAATTTACCTGAATACCCATGCTTACAGAAAATCCTCTAGGGTTCTTTGTATTTCGTCGTTTCATGATTTTGACGTTCTTCTCTTGATTGAGTTTATATCCGTTAATGCTAACATACATTGATATAAGTGAACATTTCATGCCGTTTTTATTTCCGGTTTATATTCATATATGAAAACACACACAATTTCAATGCATATCTGTTTATATTTTTACTTATAAGTTTTATACCTTTTGTCTTATTTATTTCTGCTCTAAAAATATCCATCTCACCATGGTGTTTAGGATCTTCGAAGAACCAATGAACAATTAACTGAATCACAAGAACAAGCACGTAGTTTTCAAGAAGAATTAAAATCATTAACGACTAAACATACTAGAGAAATGGAAGTTCTTCGAAAAGATCGTGATCATGCGGTACATGTAAGTTGCTACTTACTTGGGTTTAATTAATACTTGATTGTTTTCGTTATGATTTCTGATAATAATTAAATAAATAAAGGATTATTTGAATGGTTTTTGTGAAGAATAATTTCTTAATTTTTAGACTGTATTCGTCTGAACTTCGCCAGTCACAACTAATTACTTCAAGATGTTCCTCAAGTTTGAGTGAGAAGTCGTAACTGTGATGGAGTTCAGATTTGTTAGTAATAAAACGATTCTCACCTAGGACATCGGGAGATTGTGGCACCATATCACAAATTGATTAGTAAAACATGACTAATCCACCGAATTCGGTGTTTTGAGATGGTGATACCAATTGAATTGTTAGTTTGTCAGAATGAACACTGTCAAACATCGGTATTGTCACCGGATATCGGCAATTCTTCTGAGAATTCGATGTTTGAGCACAGAGAATCATCAAATATCCGAGCTCGGGATGGTTTTAAAGGATCTAACACATGTGCTATCACGGATACCGATGTTTACAGTCAAAGTAACATCATGATTTCCTCAAAGACTGCTCAGTTCAGCTTGAGGATTTATGGCTTTTACCATCCATTGACTGAATCTCATCTGCCGTTTCGCCAGTAGCACTTACATGACTACTCGGATACATAAATGTCTCTGCAGGTATAAGGTTCTGTCATCTTTTGAGCATTAGTTTGCGTTTCAGCAGTTCAAAATGTTTGTCATATGTATGGATATAAATTAGTTAGTCCCTTTTTAAGGATTGAGAGGATGATTACTTCATTTTGAGATTATGGAGTTTTGAATATATGTTTTAGACACATACCTTGATATCAAAATTTTACAAATACATAGTCTTATCCGTCTGTTGTTCTATGTGCATCAGTGTGCATACATTGGAAGAGGAAGGCTTAAATGGCACATGTTGATTCAACTTTATTGAGACCAACGAAGTCACTGTCAAGAAAACCAGAGTGCACTAGCCAGCTGCTTTGTCCTAGTATAGTATTCCTCAACTGCTATACATCCATCCAGCCTGTGATCGACTGGTAAGACTTTCAAGGTTTTTAACCAGTACAGTCACAAGATTGTCGTCTATTATTTACAAATCCACAACTTTAATCAAATCTTGATATAACACAAAGTTCATTGTTAGGTACTCGTCGCACGATTTCTAAACGTCTTGAATTTGATGCACACCTAAGTTTTAGGTGTGCCTCCTCTACTAGTTATCCAATTGCTTTAAGTTCCCAATCATACACCAAATTTAGTCAATCAGGGATAAATATGTCATACACTAATTGTATTAAGAAAAAAATGCAATAATCATGTACTAGGGAAAATATGTAGTATTATGTACTTATATAAAAAAGTTTTGTATTGTGATGTGAGTAATAAACAAACTAATCTTCACGGTTTATGTGCAAAATAAAAAAAAACACATTAAGAATTGAAAACATGTAGTCTATGTATATTGAGTTGTAGTGAATAAAAAGAAAGTATGTATGTTGTACGGATTGAATAGTGATAATAATAATAATTTTAATAGTGAGAGGAAAAAAATAATGTTCTGAATTTTCTAATTCATTTTTCTGTGGGAAGCTTTTTTTTTAAAGTACTAAAAATGAATGTAAGTACATGAGAAAACAATGATCTACTTAACTTATGCCTACCAGTAATTGGTATCAAGTTAGTAGTATTAGTAGTAGTGGTGCTATATAACAATTGATATTGTTTTTTTTCTTTTCTACAAGAATTACTAAATTTTTAAAAAAAAACAACACACTAAAAACTACATTTATGTGATGAAATTGTAGTTAGTTATTGGACTACTCGATATTGTGTTCTCAGAGTTAAGTGGTTGAGTTGTAGAGATTTCAATAATTGTTCTGGACAATACTAACAGTGTTTACTTCATATAAAGTTTAATTTATAAATATAGTGATAATGGAAGCTACAGAGTTAAGCTAATCTGGTTCAAAAATGCAATGTCACGAAAAAACCCACTTGTACTGGAAGTCTTCTCCATTATTTCGCAATAAATCATGTACTATTAAAACCCAACTCTACATATAATTCTTTCGTTCTGATAGTGGGGATTTCAACTAATTCACTTAATAATCTTGTCGTTTAATTTATTTCATTCAGAAGTTTTTTGTGGGGGTGAGATTAGATGAAGGTTGTTACTGGTTCCAGAAATCTACACATACGTGGATGTATTATGACTAGATTGTACTCAATTTGTAATTGGTCCCACTGAACCTCAGGTAAAAGAAAATGCGATAATATGCATAAAGATGTGGTTAAGTCGAAAAATACCTAAATATTATTCCTATTTGTGTATTAGTTTCTTTTTAAAATATATCTATGAATTATGTTCAGTCACCTTAATTTATAGCTTCTTTTTATAGGAGTATTTGGGATACACTGTTGAGAAGTATAACACTGTTACCTTTTTTATGGCTTCTGATATTTTCAGAAATACAACATACTTCGAAACTCATCTACTTCACTTTTTCTTATAGTTGTGAATAAGTAGTAATAATATTGCATTGTGTATATTTGGTTTGTTTTTTCCAGTTAATCGCTGATAATGATGCTGTTCTTCTATTAGTTGATCGTATAAGATGCATTTAACACATCTTACGTTTGTTTATAATTCTGAAACTGCTTTCACTTAGCTTTAGTTGTATCTCATTGATTCTGTTTACAATTTTCGAAATTTTACTGAGATGACAAAATGACCTAAATTAGACGACCACTGAAAATCATGGAGGACTGACTGGACAGCTGTTGAATGCTTGCTTAGAGGTCTAATGGTTAAATGGTCAGTGCGATACCTGAAGGTCCTAGGTTTGATCATTGGTAAGATTGTGGATGCACATGTTAAGATGAAATAGATGTTCAGTACTCCCTGGTATTCACCGGTTGCCTAACTTATGCCGGTTCGTGATCTTAGTATAATTTATTATTCCCCAAGATCCCCCCTATACAGATAATCTTCAAAATATACGTAATATTAGATAGTTACCGCTTTATTTCGCAAATTAATAAAAGCTTAAGTCGTGCCATTTGGCGACAGCCCGACAATTCTATGGGTTGATTAGTTTTAGCGAAACGTGACGGCTGAGTTCAACCACTGGAGGGTGCTAATTATGCACTGCTGTATGGTCTTGTACTAGTACGAAACAAGCTGCTTAATTCTCTGACGTTTTCAATAATACCGCTATAAAACAATGTAATAGGCAGGAGGAATGCATCTATATTACGAGAAGTATTTACAGAATACATACACATAGTCTTTAATCGTCCATTTGCATCTTTCGGTGTGGCCTCCAAATTTCCTGCCAATCCCATGCTTTCGATGCACCGAGTGTCTTCACTCCATCTGACAATTGCTGCAACTTTGATGCCACATTCCCGTTGCACACTACTTACAAACAACCTTGTGATTGGCATCCACCACATCCCAATTGTGATCATTCTATTATGAATACAGGCTACAGATCAAAAATTACATTCACAAACAATAGTTTATATATATGTGCTTCTGTTTATATTTAGGTATTAGAAGAGCTGAATGGTTCTATGGGTGGTAAACGAAGAAGTCGAGTCGGTTCAGGTTCAGGTACACTTACAGCAGCCGCAGCTAGCACTGGTTCAACTGAAGTGTTAGCACGTTATCAAGAGGTTCAAGAAATTGTTCGTCGACTAACTGCTGAAAATAAAATATTACGACAACAAGTGGAAGAAGCTCAAGAAGAATTACTTACACAATCACTTCAACAAGGTCAAAGCTTAATACGTTCATCAGAGAAAAGTTGGGCTTCTGAAATAGATAATTGTACTAAAGAAGAGGTATGGTTCTAATTAATTTTTTATTGGATTTGGATTTATACGTATATATAAACCTAGTTTACTCATATGTAAAAGTTCAATGTGGCTATAAATGGAATCGTGGAGTTTGAACGTCAACACTAGGATACAGGTACATTCGGTTGACGAGGTTGAAATTAGACGAAACTCACTGTCTGAATTCTACTGCTAGTCACTATCCAACTGTGCCCCCAAAATGCTTGTGAATAGTCCGACCAGTATGTGCATATACTAAAAGAAACTGATCAGTTGCAATCCTTAACTCAGACAACTGAATTTTAACCAAACTTTTTCTGAAAGAAACTAATTTACCTAATACAATCTTGTGTACTCAGTTTTGAACAACATTTGTTTATATGATGGTTGGTAAAGTATGTGGTGTGCGTATCTGTGTGTATGGGAGTCGAAACTACAACCTGTGAGTTAAAAATCATATTTTTTTTAAAACCACTCATCTATTGTTTCACATAGCGTAATATAATATTACTCATTTCTAGAGAATACTTTACTCTTTGTTACCATCAATTTTGTAATCAATCAATTTATGCTTATTTACAGTCAATTAAGTTTAAAATAAATGCATAATATTTGTGACCGGATCAAGTCAAATACTATCTATGTATAATAACTCCTATCATCATTTACTTCTATCAGATTATATCATATAGTGCGATCAACTTACAGATCAATCGACAGTAGATAGTATACTTAAGAAATTAAATTTGTTTTCAGCGCCATAAATTGTTAGGCGTTTATTTTTGGTGTAGGAACTCGCAAGATATTTAAGGCTTGTTGCAATTATTTTGTGGTCAGGAGTAATCACTAAAAAACCCTGGACTTAGGTCACATGCTAGTTACCGCTCATCAGTAAGGAATACCTGTAATCTTGAGGAAACATATGGTCCCTGTAGGATTCGAGCCGGCGTCATCTAGTTTCACAGTCTGAGATGTCACCAGTATTGAGCTATTTGGGACGCGATTAACCTCTTATAGAACCGGTATATTTACAGTTGTAAGTGTTTCTGCTATCTCGTTATTTTCATAACTGAACTGAATAGTTGAAATGATGACTCAATATTTATTGTCTTCGGATATTGGTTATGTTACGAATTTATATATATATATATATATATATATATATATATATTAGTATAGTGCAATAATACACTTCATTGATCGGAATGATGTGTACATATTGATCATGTGATGCTTGATTTGTGTGCGTCTACATGATCTTACACACATATGCATGTATATAAATGTATGTAAGAGAAGAGCATTGTATCTTGTGTGTTATAAAATCATCTCTTCATTAGTTAAACAAAGCATAGTAAAATAGTTTCAATAATTAATGTGTTGATGCCATTTCACTGTTACTGTTCAACTTATTATCTTTTGTAACGAATAAGATGATGATGGTAAACAAGGAGAAAAAATCAATAGAGTTTTGCTTGCTAAAGTCTTTGCTCTTCATATATATATATATTCAGATCATTGTCATAACTTGTTAATTTACGTGTTGTACTCATGACATTAGCGGCTGAGGTTTTTTTTAAAATGGAATTTTACCTAAATTGTTGTCTGGTCAGTCAACTGATAATGATCTCGTGTTCAAAGGTATCAAACACTGAATGATAATCAATGCATATACTTTTTGGTACTAGGTTCTAGGAGATGGTTTTGAATCTTTCAAGGTCCTCTGTGTTCAACCATCTACCTTAATTTGCTATTACTAACTAGCTTTATTATTTCAATTACTAATAAACTAATGGAATGGTGACTTAATAGTTAAGGGCATTCGACTTTCAGTCGTCTCAGGCTAGAGCCACGCTTCACCTACTTCGGTTAGATCAATTGGCTAGTATCATTAGCTGTTACAGTTAGGGTGTTTCACACTCAGATATCCAGTGAATGTGTTAGTTTAATTTTTAAGTAGAGCAGTAGTTAAGATGTTAAAAATCTGACTTCTAAACAATAGATCCGTACCTCTTACTCCAATCACCTTGGCTAGAACACTTGAATAACATCAGTCTAGAAAATTGTAGCTCAAATTTAACTAGACAAAAATGTGTATATTTACTACTATTTAGTGTAGGATCCTCTTGGAAAATGGGTCACAGTCTGTTTGATTGAACTATTGATTTGTACCGTATTAGCTTATTACAAATTTGTAGTTAGTGCCTCCAAAATAAATCAAAGTATTATTTTAAGAGGTATTATTTATTAGAAAAAATAATGACAAAACACAGTATAACGTTTTAAATCTAATTAACTAGTGTGCAATTTCAATATACAAAATAGTTAATTATTGTATTTAAAAAAATACCCTCATTTCATATTATTATGCTCAATCCAATAAATGTTAGTGTAATAGTAGTTTTTAATATTGTTTCCTACGGACCATTCGGGTTTCATCCGCATTGCGTTTTGTCGATAAATCATGTGTTGTTAGTATTCTGACTGAATATACTCATTTATTCTAAACTACATTTTCAACGGAAGAATCTTCAGTGAATCAACATAGCAACTAACAAATGAGTCCACTGTGTGTGGATTCTATTGTGTATGTACTTTGTGCAAAATATTTAACTTACAGTTAAAGCGACATGAATACTCGTAAATAAAACTGACGCTAATAAATATGTGGGTTTAAAATATACTTCAAGTTTACAATATTAATGTTGATCACTGTCCAGTAATTCTAATCTGAGATGAATATAAATTAGGTCAGGCACTTTTATACAACTTTAAAAGGTGTTATATAATGGATGAAATCCTCGACACAATGAGTAGTCCAACCTCAATACTAATATCAATAGGCAGGTCTTTGTCAAATCAGTAGGTTTTTTTATCGATATGTTAATGAGAATATGACTTTGTAGCAGTTGACACTTGTGAAGGCTATGGGTCGTTTACTGGTAAAAACCATTCAGCTCTCGACCTGTATGTCATAAATTTAAACTAATATTCGCGTACTTAAGTTTTGGACTATCAGGTAGCAACAGTAGTGTAGCTTCAAGCTGAGTACAGAAGTCTTTACTTGAAGAATAAGTTGGCATAAGATACTTCATTCTTTCAAGTGGTTGAAAGCAGCTGTCAAAAAACTCTAGACCTAGGTCTCTGTACTAATCTGCGCTCGTTAGAATGGTGTGTCTACTTGTTTAGTCGGCTTTCCGAGAGCTGCAACGGAGCCGAAGAGTCCTAGCCAATCAGAGCATGATGGAGCTTTCTAGAATATCAACGTGGCGTGCTACTATTAGTCAGTAGCATAATGTCTTTTAGCGGATTGGCCAAAATATGATGTTGATTTAACAAATGTTAACATTTATGAATACCCGTGTTTTTCTGTACGAAAATGAACCTTTGGAGTAAAGTGTTTTTCGTTTATTTTGCGCCTTTTCTCTTGAGTTCAGGTAGCTGCGTAGTTTTAGCTTAGGAATCGAATAAAGCGTTCAAATTAACAAGACTTATCAATACTATCTTGATTAAGCTGATACTCCATGATGTAGTTGAACTTGTGTCACTCAGTTTCGCAGTCCGAAACGTTTTTATTGAATCTATTTGGGCCTCGATTTACCTATAGGATTGAGGTTGTATTCACAATTAATTTATCACTAATCATGATTCACTAGCTCTGTATATATATACCATGGAGACTTGATGCAGTAGTAGGAAGGCCTATGAAAAACAGCTAATGTCTTCAACATTTTCCATGTTGTTTACAATCTACCTACGTGTGTTGATCTGTAAATATTTATTTATAATCATTAATTATTTTAGGTTGTCGAATTATTATCCAAAGAGAAATATGCAAATGAACAACTGCGTAAATATATTGACGATTTAATTACACGAATTATTGAACGACATCCATCATTGTTGGAGATTGCAAGTGGAGGGGGTGGATCATAGATTCATGCTGTCTATGAGTGTTTGCCGGTCCATCCAACTAACTAACTGATTTACTTATTACTTGGATAAAACTATACATATACAACTTTGTAAAAGAGATATTTTCTATTTACTTATATATATATATATATATATATATATATATATATATATATATATATATACTTATCTATAAATTTTATTTTCAATAGACTACTAATAACACCGAAAATACATATCATCAATTTTTTTTCTATCATAAACAAAGCATACTGATAGCAAGTACATAACCATATATGTTGTGAAGGAAGTGTTTTTATATTTCTTTGTTCATTCGATTGTGAAACTCCTTTGTCTTTCGTGTCTCTCATTTTGTTATTATTATTTTCGTTCAACTATTTGTCATGTATGTTCTCTCTTTTGTTTGAAAAATGAAATCATCATCATTATTATGTCAAGCGTAACCAGAACATAGTGACAGTTAATTGCACATATTATCATTAATATTCCTACTAATAAGCTGTTTTTAGATTGTTGAATATGTTTTCACTAAGTGTGAAATGAAATCTAGTGATGCAGGCACTATAAAATTGCTTGTTCATTCTTACATTTTATGCCAGATTAACACGTAAATATTATCAGGATAATGTAAACATTCTGTGATTATTTAAAGTGTTTATGATTTTTTAAGTTTTTTTCTCTGTACTACTACTACTACTACTACTACTACTGTGTTTCATTGTTATATGCCTTTTTGTTCAACCATCAGTACTAATGTTAATAAAATAAAGTTGGTCTCTTTCTTGGAATTATTTTTGCTGAAAAACAAATAATTTATTTCATTCCCATGTCTTTGTTTTGCTGAAACCTAATTGATTTGAAGTAACATGATCATATTTCATTCGACCATCTATAATTTCTAGTCTTGTTTCCTGCGTGACATTTTGTGTGACGATTGTAGGAGAGTGAGAGAAGGGTGCTTCATTTCTTATGTTCATGGAATTATAGAAAATACATTTTTTTGCTTTTTTGATTTTGGGATCACCATTCATTAACATACTACTACCAATGCTATTAATACTATGCCTTTTTTCATGAAAACTTCCATTTATAGTTGAACTTATTACGATGATGAAATCATACTTAGTCCTTTGACAATTTTACTTTTGTATTGTTCTTATTTCTTGTTGGTATCGATTTTCTTACCTTCATAGTCATACATAGCCATGGAAATGCTTCAAAAGTAATCTGTTAACTGAATCCTTGTTTTTTTTTAAAAAAAAAGATATAATATATGTACACATATATCATAGTGTATTTTTGCTCTGCCTTTACCTTCCTCTTTTTATATTCATTTAATCTAACTGGGATGTTGTCTCTCGTCTGTTTCCTTGATAAATTCGATGCTTTTTTAGTTTACTTACTGACTTCTATGTTGTTTTCAATATTATTCAATTTTAAGCATACATACCTTGTAAAGAACTAGTGATTAGTTGCTTGTTTTTCATCGGTTGTCTGTTTTTTAAATCCAATTTATTGAGGTATGTTGATGTGAACAGAAGTAAGCATCAAATTAATGCTCTATAATCTTTCTAAACATTATTAAAGACCTGTATACATCAGATAACAACAGCTGACGGACGGATTTGTGTCACGTTCATTACTCAAAATACACATTTCCGATTTTTTTGTTTTGATAAATATCAGCATCAACTCAACGTTTACTATTATTAGTAGTAATATCTGCTATTATGCAGCATATAAACATAAGAACTACTCTATTGTGTATTACTGTTACTATTGTTATTTCTTTTACACACATATTCATCATTCTTTTGTATAGATAACTATTTGTTTGTGACGTTTTTTCATTACCGGATTTACTACTATTATAGAGACGATCATGTTGATCACGAGGTTGTAAACACCAGTTTAAGTTATTTACTTTTCATCGAATTAGCAAAATACTCAATATTTTCATTCGATCGGTCTAATATTTTTTCGTTATTAATCTTTTCCCCACCTTTGTTGACAAATGTTCTATTTTTTTTAAATAATAGATTCACATATAAACAAACAAATATATGGTTTATTATTAAATATATGTTTAATTGTTGATTACATGGTATTTTTAGTGGAGATTGATAGTTTGTGTGTTGTAGAACTAATATTAGAATCAACCAGATTAAAGCACAAATGTTTCGGTTTTTAAAGCGAGACTCATCAACAGCCTGCACTCAACACTACAGTTCACTGTTTTACATTTATTAATCTGTGAACGAAATATGTGCACGCGATTTCAACTCGAATAGTTTAATAACACCAATCCGACTGAAAGGTCAAGTATACAAACTTCGTCCTGGTGAATTGAGTTCCACTAAAAATACACAATAAATTGTAGTTAAGTGTGTCTCATTTGTAGCACTATTTTCCCATCTGGATGGCTCATTTATTGGAAAAAAGATGTTAAAATATACTAACTACTCATTGAATAGAATTGCATGAAATGATATTGAAGGTTACATAGTTTGTGTGATTAGTGTAGTAAAGCGTTGTGGAGATGGTTGGATTTTATTTAAATCATGAATCGACATATGTTACACTGCTACTAGGAACCCGAAAACACTGGATGCCCATTTCTTCGTGGTATTGGACTGAGAAGTGTGCATCCACGATCCCGCAAGCGGGAATAGAACCCGTGGGCTTCGGTCCCTTGAACGAACACCCAACCTCTAGACCTACCAAGTACAATGGGTGTTGTCTCAGTAGTTTTTGTTGCCAGATCCTTCAAAAGGTGACAAAGACTACATACACTGTTGAAAACCCTCATTAACAGGGAAGAGGTTGAAAAGATTTCATCCAATCATCCTCAAATAGAGACTTTCCAGAATTACTTAGAAGAACGAGAGATATGTCATAATTTTGAGTCGATAATTGCTTTCTTTTTACTAAATGTGTATTTCGACAGACTTAGGAAGTCAGGGTCATTCGGAGATCTATAAGTAACCCTGTTTTTGTACATATTTGAACCTTGAAATAAACCTCCCATTCTTACTTCACTCCTTTTCTTTCGAGACTTAAGTGTAGGAGTAGTCTGGGGATATAGAAGGTGACTGGGAAGTCAAGATTAAGGATTTGAGTAGCAGATATATTTCTCGCATATTTTATTTTAACAACATTTACGCTAATAATGAGGCTTCATTTTTGAAGTAAGGATTTGTAAAAAAAACCTACTTTTGAACAGTTAAAAGTTACACATTCATGCTTAGTAATAAGAATAGTTTTCGAAATTGTTGAGTCTTATCTTTGTTTATACGAGCATCAAGTAACTGTTAAACATTTCGACTTATATTCGCTTATATCAATAGATATGAAGTTAACTAGGAAAACGTCAAAATTTCGGACTAAGGGAATATCAAGACAATTTTTGGAAACGCTGTATAAGTGTTTGATTATAAATCAATAGACATACAAAACCCATTTCAATACGTTAGTCATTAAGTATAGATAATTATTAGATTAGAGTAAGGGAGAAGGCATTCAAAATATATGTATAAACGGCATCAGTACGATTATGGATAACAACTAATTTAACTCTATTTTTACAGAACAGTGTGTTGGTTCATTATGAAGAAATCCTAATATCTTCTTTAAAGAATGTTGTTGAGGTAAACAATAAAAGTTCTATGACTAAATCATTCAGATGAGAGAATATATTTCCAAAAATTACTCATTCATTTGCACATCTTTTTAAAAAAATCTAGTTTTATTCGCAAATAATTAGTAAACAAATATTTACATAATCTAACATTTGATCAGTTACAAATAGGGTTTCTGCGTTTAATATATTGATTGTATCATTGTATCATAGAAATAGTTTCTTATCATCTCTGTATAGCACTGACATCTATTGTAAGTTTTCTCATTTAGAAATTGTGGTCTTGGATATTTTTGACAAGTTTTCAAAATCAGAATGATATTAGACTTCTGATTTTTTTTAGAAATTTTGTCAGCGGAAAGCTGATCATTCAGATCTATAGAAGTTGGTTATTACAATCAGCAACTATTTCATATACTCCTGAATTTTCTTATGATCTTCATGCAAAATGTCCCATTTTCTGTTTTCTCCGGGTAGGTATTTGTAATTGAGAAAACCATTAATTTTGAAAGAATGAGCAGCAGCCTTAATATCTCAGTTTGTGTATTTATTAATGATGTATTGCAACTTTCTTGTTTTTCATTTAGTTTTGAAAGTACTATTCTCAAAGAAAAAGTAACTTTTACATAATCGGTTAACAGTTGTACAATTTACAATTCTCATCGATAAGAGTTATTATATTATGATGCTTGAAAACTGTTTACCAGGGTGTGGTCACTAGAAATTTGTATTTTTCCTAAGCTAATATTTTTAGTCAATCAATGTATTGTTAGCAACGCAATATTCGTTAACCAAATTAAATTAAGTCAGATGAGTTCAAGGAGGGTTATCTTTTGAAAGTACGAGAATCGAATGGGATTTGAGCTAATAATATGGGAAGTAATTATATATGTTATTGTTACTTGCAGAATCTTATGTTTCACTGAGTAGAAGAATATTAAAACACTGTTCAACCTGTAATTACAAAGAATTAATCTTTAGGTAAAATTTTACCCTTTATATACATTGTTGAAACATTTAAAAGTACCATATAAAAGTGATCTAATGGTTTGTGCTCACTCGTTGATCAGTAGAATGGATTATCCGATAAGATTGTTCTAAACTAAGAGCACTATGAATGAAGATGTTCAATAGTAAAATATCTACCTCACTAGCCCATACACCTCATATGTTGACTCTTAATTTAATTGCTTCCTTCTACACTTCAGTTATTGTCTTCCACAATACCTAACACACACACACACAGTTCCCCAGCTTTCAAGGTACCTTCAGGCTAAACGCAGCCTAAAGTAAGCTGAATGTCACACATATTTACAGTTGATATGATGTTTCGTAAATGTTTATAATATATTTGGCGTTTTATTCCCTTTTAACTTACCCACTTTTAAACATTCCATTTCTATTAGTAGCACTACCCTTATTTTATATCATTCAAAAGTAAACAACAACGTATCGATTTCCACTTCAAATAATATCCATAAA